TGGTCTCCTGTTGGGTTCCCCATTGGCTAAAGCCAGCCGGAGGCCGAAGGACAGAGGACCCCTTGATGAGGTCTCCAGGGGCCGGCCCCCAGGCAGGGGGTGGCCGGGTCGGCTTGCTTTTCTCGGCTTGGCGACATTCTTCACATGAAGGTCTGCTGGCGTGCTTTGCCGTCGGCGAGACCGAGGGCAGGCTGGGGTGGGGAGGTTTTCTGGGAAGGGATTTTCAAAAGCAGGCACTTTGCACAAACATGTCGAACTCCGTCCAGCACAGATGGAGCAGCCGAGCCCCTCCCCCGCACCCACCCACGGAGGTTTGGGGCCGATTTGGAGGATTTGGGCTCGTCACTTCGTCGAAGATGTGCCTTTTTTCCGAGGCTTCTGTGGAAGATGGTTTAAACATTTTCACCACAAGCTTGCACAAGAGCAAATGTACCTGAGGGAAAACGTTCTGTGCAAACCATTTTGGAAAGATTGATTTGCACGTGGAACTCGGGTTAGGTGGTGACCAGGGCTCGAAAGTGTCCGTCCTTCCTGCACCACCTCGCCCCTCCCCCCCCCACACTCCACCATGCGCTGGGCCAGGTGGGGGAAGTCTACGTGGCCGTGTGCTTTGTCGTCGTGTCCCAGAGAGCCTGTCCTTGTCAGATGGGTACAGAAAGGTGGAAGATGACTATTAACAGAGCGACAGGAATGGGCTGTTTTCCAAAGCTGTGAGAATGGCAGCATTTGGAACAGTCGTTTTTCATAAACCAGGGTGCACAGTTAGTTCTCTTGTAGAATCCCAGCTACAGACACGAACTCAGAAGTTATTTAATAGACGATAGGGCCGTCCATACATGGAATGTCACGCATCCGTGAGAGCTCTGTGTGCAGATGCGGAAAGATCTCTAAGAATGTTGTTAATAGATTAAAAAAAAAAAAAAACACCTTACAGAACAGGTTGTAGGGTGTACGTTTTTAAACGTTTCATCTCAAATTTCAAACTTTTAGAAGAGTTTTGAGATGAAAACAAGAATTCTCCTGCGCTTCTCCCGGGCGGGTCACCCGGTCGTTGGCATTTTTCCGCGTTTGCTTCATCTTTCTCTCCGCCCCGCCCCCAGTTCTCTTCCTTACGTGTCTTCGTCGTAGTTTAGCTGCTACTTTCCGCATCCCTGGGGGTCATACCTATGTCGCTGTCACTGTGACGAATGTCAGCTTCTCTCTAATTCCCTCCCTCCCTCTGCATTCATAGTTGGCTTTCTACCATAACGAGGAATTTTCTCTTCTTTCCTGTTTATTTATGTAAGTATGGTTTCATGAATTCCTGTTTTATTCAGACAACTATAATATATTGTTTTCATTAATCTGATGCTCAGATTGTTTCCTGTTTGGCCCAGATCTCAGGTTTGGCTAAAAGGGTGCAGGGGTAAGAGCCAGCTTTATAGCTTTGTTCTTTGATACACCCACCCATCATTTTATTCTCATTCCTTTACTTTTTTTGGCACAAAAAGACATTCCAGGCTTATTTTGTACTTCCCATGCCTCAGCCCTGAAATTGGCCATTTATCTATAGAACTCTGGGTTGTTTAAGTAAAGAGTGGTATTTAGAAACCAAGGTCCAGGTGCTAGGTGTGCTCATTGCTTCTGGGGTGTCTCGCTCACAGTGCAGATCTAGAACACGTATGTACGTTTATATGTATATGTACAGGTACGTGTGCACATACATAGACACACGCACACGTGTGCTGAAATTTATGTTTATTTTTCTCCGTCTCTCCTTATTGAAAACCTTGAATTCC